GAAGTTATATTTATTTTTATTTAATTTAAGGTTCTATTTGTATATTTATATCATATTTTCATCAGCGGTTACCAGGTTACTGAGGCTTTACGAGTACAGATGGAAGTTCAGAGAAGACTGCACGAGCAACTGGAGGTTAGGATATCATCTGTCTATTTAACTGTTTGATTTTTTGCTATGCATGGACGCTTGTTTTCTATTTCTGCTTGATGATGATTAGCTTTAGTGTCTAACATTATCTATATTTGGGCCTTTTAGTTCTTGGTGAAATGCAGCATATTTTGCTACGATTGAAGTAACTTACCTTACAGTTACTTTTAAGTAACCTTTTGATTTTAAATGTGTATGGAAAGGTTATGGTGTGTGTGTGTTAATTTTTTTTTCTGGTTAATTTTTTTGAATGTAACTCGGGTTACTTTCAAAAACTTCATACTTTGACCAACTCAAAGAAGATTATTTATTCTAAAACATACTTATTTTCTAGTGAGTAACAGAGGCTGTTCTCCATATGTTGCCACTTAAAACACCGGAAGGAATAAATTTCAAAAACCCGAAATTGAATATCTGATTTCAGTTGCATAGTTTTCATATGCTCCATTAGGTTTGAATTTTAGTACCCTGCTCTGATGTAAAAAGAGTCTCTTCTTATAATACCATGAAAAGCAGGTGCAGCGTCATCTTCAGATCCGAATAGAAGCACAGGGAAAGTATCTGCAGTCAATTCTTGATAAAGCTTGTAAAGCTCTTAGAGTTGAGGACATGGGCTCTGCAGGGCTAGAAACTGTTAGGGAAGAATTCTCTAAACTCGCCATCAAAGTTGGTAGTGAATGTGACGGGATTACCTCGCTGCCTTCCAATGGCAAGGACATGGTGTTGAATGGAAGTCTTGTTACCCTCGCACCACAGGCTGTTGCACTGAAAAAAAGACCACGGACTTTCTTTGGTAGTGGAGACCCATCGCCTTTTGAAGGCAATATGCAGGCAGCCGAGTGGACGACGGCGAATATTGGATGACTTTAGCAGACATTTCCTTTTTATTTGTGCGTTCGATTGAACTAAATGATTGAGCAATGTTGTAAACTGTAGTGTCAGTTGTTTGTATATTCTTGAAGTTGATTTACATGGGTCAAGAAACTTCAAAGTGATTTTCATTATTCTCTTGTATTTGTCATTTATAATGTAATTTAAACCTTCCTTTCGACCCACATCCCTTCGCACATGAGCATCCTTTATTTTCATGTATAGTTTCAAGTGACGTAGAGACTCGAGATCAAGTCTCTTTGCATGTTTTGATACATGTTCTTTTTCTACAATTTTATTCTTTTGAGTTCGTTTTCTTTATATTCTCCCTTGATAGTTATTTATTTAATTAGCAAACAAAACAAAAAATAAAATAAAATACTTGGGACCGAAATTATGGAGAGTGAGATTCAAAAAAACCCTTGGGACCGAAATTATGGAGAGTGAGATTCTACTTTGAAAGAGAGAGAATTCTATCTTTACATCATGGCCTAATAAATATGTCTTATCTAAGATGCAGTTTATTGAAGATAAAATTATTGCATCCTATTTGGTTTAGGATAACTTGCGTTACTTTTCAGTTTTCAGCTTGTGATATTATCAGCCATGATCGCTTATTCGGCAACGTCCACCACTATTTTGACCGACCGTGTTGCTCACTTGTCCAACGAAAATGGGAAATGATGTGTGTACAGCACATACAGTCCTCTCACAATCGTGGGTCCGCGATTATTTAATCGTGGATCCCACCTCTTTTATGTGAGAGGGTTGTAAATCATGATGTCAAAATTACTGTACTTGTAGCATTACTCAACCAAAATTATCCTAAACAGTTTAAAATTCTCTTCTCAATGTCGTTGTTTCATGTTCTTTTGCCAACCATACAGCCTAGTGCTGCCCCAATTTCAGCCATGTACTAGTAATCTTGCAATCTCAGTAATGTCCCAATCAGCTCGTTCCATGAGCTCGTGAGTTCACAAGCCACGAGCTCGCGAGATCGACGAGCCGAGCCTCACTCGGCTTGTTGGATTCGAACCCTACTCGGCTCGTACTTGAGCTCGTCAAACGAGTCAAGCAGTCGAGCCGACGAGCCGCTTAACACATTTGACATCCCTGTCCGATTCCATAATAGAAAGGGCAAAATTAACTAGTATTTCCCCACCACCCTGACCCTGTTTTGCAGCTCTATCGGATCAATCATCCCCCACCTCTACCATGTCAATACTGATCTAAATAATCTCTCTCCATTCTTCATATGATGGTTACGACATCATCATGATTGGAGGAACTCTCTTGTCCATTTGTGCATATCGGATGTGATAGTCTCTCTTCAAAGTCTCACACATATAAATTGTCTAAAGTTCTCCATGTTAGAGAATTTTTATTTATAAAATTAAAATTTTTTTTTTCCATCTCCATAATATGTTCAATCTAATAAAGTTTACCATCAAATTACGAGATACACTCCGCGAACGTGATCCTTTGCTTGTGAGGCATAAAAGATGATGAGTAAAAACTGATACGGTAACAAAATCAGTTATGAGCTAGCCAATACAAGACCATAACCTGTCATTCTTCTAAAATGTTCGAATTGTCCAGAGGCTTTGAGGGAAATCTATAAATACCCTTGTCCCAAAAGATAAATGAATGCAAATTCAAACAACTCTATTCTAAGTAGTCATTTCTCCTCTTGCTCCATTTTGAGCATCAGTACTAATAAGTTTAGGAGGTGCAAATCTTGGTTAGGTGAGTGGAATTTGTTGATTCGATTTCTATCGTTAACATTTACATTGAAAATTCTGTCCCTTTTCTTTTCAATTTCACTTCAAGGATCTTCGGTCATAGGATTAAAAATTGTGTACGAGTTGCCCACCTCCTTCTGCACTTTTCCATTTTTTGGTGTCCTGGAATGGAATCTCGCCGTAAACAATCCACCGCATAGTCTGCAACATAACAAGTCCTCTGAACGTATATTTCCCGTCACCTCTATAAAATCTTGACCAATATTTCTTGGTTCTCACGTTGACTCCCTCATCACTATTGCACAGACCCCTCCCTACACAAGTCCATCTACTTCAAAGCCTAATATCGCTGCCAGTGTCCCTATTTTTTACATTGCGTGGATCACACTTTGTTGCCAACAACAAACCAGTAAATGCCTACCTTTCTTTCTGCTGCCACCTATCCACAAGCTTCGGAACCTACCAGTCCACGCCGGCCTTCTGTTCCGCAAGCCATAGACCACGAATTGTAAATTATGTTGAACTTCAAATTCTATGATCTTTCTGATATGTTATATATCAGGTGTAAATATATGAGCATTCCCGCGCTCTTCAAAGTTCCCCTTTTTTTGGTGTTTAAACTCAATATTCGCTCCTTTATTTGCTTGCCCCTTATAAGATGTGTTGACCCCAAAAAGTATTGCCAATAGATGCCGGTCCCACCACACACACGTGGGCGAATGTCCAACACGCTAAGACACGTAGACAGTCTAAAAGGAGCAGTTCTAAGGGCGTGGGAGTAGCCCAACGACGCGGGACAGTGACGTTCAGAATCCGACGAGTTGTTCGTGATCCGATTGTACAATAATTACCAATCGGTGTTCGTAAATATATATGTGAATATGTATAAACTCGATTTGTGTATTGCAAGTAAATGAGAGAGAGTTGAGTAAAGTATAGTTTTTTGTATTGATTCTTGCATTAGCCTTTTGATGTTACACAAGGGAAGTATTTATAGTGATACATGTGAAATGGGAGCCCTTGGATGAGGTGGCACGTGGCCTCATCTCTTTAATTCAAACATCCCATCCTAGGCATGAGAGTTGACTTGCTAGTTTGCTGCGCATTTATTGCTTTGTGCAGGGCCTCCATACTAGTGACAAGACTTGACCTTTATGTTTATGACAAACGTTCCATCAATCATTCGAATAAGATCTTTATGCAGACGATCTCTTGGAAGAAGTGAACGTAGAGGACACTCCTTCGTGGTTCGGAGGCTCCTGCGTCTGCTTCGGGGCTTCGGCCATTTTCACACAATACTTCCGCTTGAGGGCTTCAGCTATCTTCACCTAGTTTCAGCATCATGGCTTCGGTTCATGGGCTTCGGCATGTGGATCTCAGGTACGTTACGGGCCTAGGTAAAAAGGAGCCTCGTCTAGTGGACTTCGACTTTGCTCACCTTGGCAATTTATGCCACCTCGGCTGGAATGACACGTGGTTCGCCCTGAGTGGGCCATAATGGGCCAGGTGAATTGGCCAAGTATGACCACACACAACAATAGTCCCCCAAGTCCAAGTATGGTCATTCATGTAATGCGTGGACTTTAATGAAGTAAAAATTGAAAGAATTTTTGAACCCCAAATAATAGTCCCTGAAGTCCAAGTGTAGATATTTATATCAGAGTTGGAATTAGAAATGTGTTGCCGTGGGTGAACGATGAAGAGACCGAGGCTGTGTTGATGTTGAATGAGGAGCCGAGGTGGTTGGGAGACAGAACCTGCAAGGCTTGATGAATGAATCTTGAAGAAGAAGCCGAGGTGGTTGGGAAACCGAACCTGCGAGGCTTGGTGGCTGAATGTTGAAGACGTAGCTGAGGTGGTTGGGAGACCGAACCTGCGAGATTTGATGGATGAATGATGAAGAAGAAGTCGATGTGGTTGGGAAACCGAACCTACGAGGCTTGATGGCCGAATGTTGAAGGAGAAGCCGATGTTCAATGGTAATGATTGTGCCTTGATAGCTGTGCCAACGATTTGATGTTTTGTGCTTATTTTCGAGGAAAAGTGGTTGAACCGTTACGACTTCCAAGGCACCTGCTGCCGCCAAATTAAAAATACAATTATGATGGCAGCTGGAGCTTCTAGAAGCAGACACGTTGGATGGGGTGCGTGGGAGGCACGCTTGAATCTGAGGCGTAAGTTTGAAAAGCCGTTTGAATTCAACGCCTCGGATTTGATCTACAATAAAGGGCTCAGATTGACTGAGGTTCGATCTGATGGCTAGGGTTCGTCCTGGACCTCTATAAAAGGTGAGAAAATCCCATTTTTTAGGACTTTTGAAACTTTGCAATTTGATTCTCTCTCAAATTTTTGAACTTTTCGGCGTCAAGGCAGCCCGTTTTTTTATTTTTCGGTCTATCTCCGTTCGTATTGTTCTTCCCTTAGGTGTCATTCACAGGAAAACCTTATTTTTGTTGTTAATTCTGTGAGATGGAGTCCACCTCGGGTAGGGAGTTGGTGACGGTGGCATCGTTAGATTATGGGGTCAGTCAGAGGGGGGATACCGAGGCTGATAGTTATGCCATGACCGAAGACCCAGTAGACTATACTGAAGAGTGGGGGGCATCTAGGGTGCCCTCAAGTATGACGTGGAAGAGGTTAGGGGAGATCAGGGAGAGATACAGTGTCCTCCACTCCATAGAGATGCTAGTTCCTGAACCAAATGAGCGAGCTTGCTGTCCGAGGTCCGGATGCGTGGCTGTTGGTCAATACCTGTTTAAGGCAGGTATGCGTCTTCCTCTGCACCCCTTCTTTAGGGCGGTGCTGAAGAATTTTATGTTGTCGCCAACCCAGGTTCTGCCAAATGGGTGGAGCCAGTTGGTTGGCTCATACTTCCTGTGGAAGGAGGTGTCACTTGGGGAGGACATGCCTCTCCATACATTCATGACTCTTTTCCAGCCCCGGATCATAGGGAAGGGGTCCAGGGGGTGGTATTATTTTACACCTTGGGGGGCTCACGCACCCTTTGTGGTAGGATTGCCTTCCTCCATTAAGGGGTGGAAGGAGTCCTGGTTCTGGGTGCGGAAAAAATGACAGGCAGTGGAGGGGGACAAGGCCTTTTCTTGCATAGTGCCGACCCAGTACTACGAAGCTCGTGAGTCTCCCAGCCCTGCTTGTACTTTTGAATTGAACATTTTGAAAATTTCTAACTGTTGGGGCTTCTATTGCAGATTGTAGTACGAGGTTCGAGCTCAGCAGGGAGGAGTTCGAGGTGATAGAGGACATCTACAAGAGGCCTCTGAAGCTCCGGCATTTTGACCATCTGATTAACAGGAGTTGCTATTTCCTGGATTTTAGATTGATGGCATCCAGAGGTACGAGGCTCTCGCAGTTTAGATACTGATGTGCTGACCTGATTTGTATACATCTATAGTTATGTAAATATTTGATAAATCATTTCATCCTAGGCATAAAATAA